AAATTTTTCTTAAGTTGATAATGTTAATTGACTATAGTATTTTTTTTATCAGATTAGTAATAAGATTTTTATAGAATTACATATTTATTAACGCTTAATTTAAATTATATATGCTGGGTACTTCTACTACTAGATCAAATTATATATATATATGTTTATTTATTGCAATATATACAGCCCGAAAAAATATGGTGATCATTTAGGAGTTACAAGTGCTACGATTTAGGGTATCAAAACTAAGCAATATCCGTAGTGGGTATATAATTAGAAGTTACATAAGCAGGGTGACAGTTAGAAATATGTATGTCTATATACACTATATACATATATATATATACACATTGTTAGCTTAAGCGAGGAAAAATTAAGGGTATAATGAATACCCAGAAAAAGAATTAAGTGTAAATTTTTTTAAAGATTAATATGGTCAGCTTGTGGTTTTGTATATTTGTTTATATATTTTTGTATATTAACAAAAACATGAGTCACTATTTAATAAATTTTCATTACTTTATTATATTTGAATAAAAAATTCATACATTTTAACTTATCTGATTTAAGTTTGTATAATAATTAAATATTGAAATTCAGTCTTACGAATGGGCTTTAAAAAGAATTACAATATTTTCTCGTAAGTAAATTGACTTTTTTTAAAAGTAAACATTTGACTGATTAGGGTGTGTTTGGATGAAGAAGAATGAGAAGAAAATGAGGGGAAGGAAAAGGATAATCACTTCCTTTCTCCGTCATTGAGAATCATGTTTTTGAGAGAAGACCTTAATTAATCTCATTAATTAAGGTTTATTATAGTTAATAAGGGCAGTTAGTGATTTTTTTGTTAAGGTCCAAGAAACTTCCCTAAAATGGGGTTGGGTGGCAATCCACACTCTTTATTAATTAAATTAACAAAAACCCTAATTAATCTCCTGTCCAAACACATGCATACCAATACATGTATAGAAAATTAATTAACATTTTTTCTTTCTGCTCTCTAAATTAATCTCTGCATGTCAACATGTCTCCCAGCTTAAGCAGACAACACTGTTCTTTTACATGTGATTTCATCTCCTAGCTGCTACTCCTATATTGTTCTTGTCTTCCATTTTTCCTTCTCCCTTGTCGCCATCTACACACATACATATTCCCCCCCTTCTCTCTCTCTCTCTCTCTATATATATATATATATATAAACGCCCATAGAAGTCTTTCTCTCATCAGGAGCAGATCATGTCTACTTCTTCCTCGTCTTTCCCATCATCAGCATCATCACCACCATCATCATCATCATCATCTCCTTCCTCTGTTTGGTTAGTTGCTTACATGAAGCTAAAGTTCTTCACTCGAATCCGTAGATTCCTGCGATCCAAAGCTCCCCACAAGCGTAACAGGGCAGCGTCCGATCATCACGCCGCAGAGAAACCAAGAATAATAGATGCTGTTGTTGATGACGATGAGGAAGAAAAGAAGGATACGGATAAATCCATGGTGTTGCAGAAATCGGTGAAGAGGCTTCACTTTGGTACTTGGGAAGAGAAGGAAATGGCTGCCGAACAGATACAGAGGCTCGCCAGAGATGACGTCAGCGCCAAGAAGTTGATCGCGGAGCTCGGTGTGATACCGGTTCTTGTTTCCATGGTCGCCGCCGACGAGTCTGGTCGCCGTCGAGCGGCCATTAAGGCCTTGTTGGAGCTCGCTAATGGAACTTACACGTAAGGTTTTATTATTATTATTATTAAGTGTATAGTAATTTATTTTATTAAAATATTATAATCATGCATGATAAACAATATCTTACCTCGCCTACATTAGAGGGTGAATTAATTATCTCGCTTAATTTTTTTTTTAATTTGTCAAAATACTGTAATTAATTACACTTAGTAAAAATCTCACCTCATTAATTATTTTGATAAATGTTAATTGAAATTGAAATTGATAAATATTAATTTGGTAAAAAAAGAAAAATAGTAGCAAGTGTTTAAAATGTTGAAATTGGAAGGATAAGATGGCATCTTTTTGTACAACTTGTGGGGTTACTTTCCTCCTTTCTACAAATCAGAATTTGGAAAGGCTGCAAAAATTTGTCTTTCTTTCCAACATATTTTGAAATAATGTTTTTCTACATCTTTCTCATGTTCAAAATTAAAAAAAAAAAAAAAAAAAAAAGTTTATGAAATTCATAGTAGCTTTCAAAGACGTTCTTTCTATGTTCTACAAGAATGCATAAAAGATTGTCAACTCTCATAATTTATTAAGATGACATTGAATAATTTTGTGCATCTCGTATATTTGTGTTTATTATACAGCTTTTAATTCTTTAGAAGTTAAATAATTATTATTTTTACATTATTTTTTAAAGTTAAATATATTTGTAATTAATCTCATTTTGTTGGAATTTAGAAATTTTAATTAATATTTGTTTAATAATAAGATGGTGTTGCATTAGGAAAGCACGAGTTAGATGCTCCTCCACTACTTCATTTGTGGGTAGGAAGACTTATGAGTTTTTCTTTAAAAAAAAAAAAAAAAAAGAATTATTCAGAGGAGGAACAAACAACACAAGGTATAGAAAATTTAAAGCAATACCAAATTAGGAAGAGTTTGATTTGAAGATGTTTAATTATATAAACCCATTTGCTATTTTCAATGGGTCAATTGGTGGGTGGGTTGAGTTGACTACTAAATTTAATTTAATTTAATTTAATATTTTAGACGATAGACTACATTATTATACATACATATATATATATACACACTCAATTGGAGATGCTAATTACTAAAATATTTGGTATGATTATTTTGAGATTCCAATTTCTAAGCCATTTTCTTTCTCAAGATTTAATAAGTTTACTTATTGATATGACATTGAATCTTGTTGACTCTATTGCTAAACTAATTAAATTCTTTATATTCTTTGTTTTTTAGTGGTTAAAATATGGATTATATATTAATCTATAACTAGAGATCTTTGGCTGTGGTTCTCTTTCCACAGGCTTATGCTTCTTAGCTACTTGGGTTTTTCTTTTTTTGTTTTTGTTTTTGTTTTTTCACAAATTTTGAAATAATTATTATAATTTTTTTAGATGAGTAAAAAATAGAATCCAAATTTAGTGTCAATAACTCTATAAAGTAAATGTCACACTATTTAAATATAAAATTAATCAGTAAGTACAATAATAATGCCACACTCCTAATTATAAGCCTTTTAATAGTTGTGGGTTTTAGTTTTTATTCAAATTAATTAAGAATTGTTTGTCTATTTATTAAGTTTTATGATTTATATTTCAGTAAAAAATATAAATACAAAAATAAAAGAAGAATTTCTGAATTCATGTGGGTTTAACATATAAAAATTATTTAATTGTCAAAAAAAGTTTAAAAATTAATAATAGCAAAAATTATGAGATGAATTCTAATCAAGTGTGATCTTAAATATTTCAGGAACAAAGCTCTAATAGTGGATGCAGGACTTTATACAAAACTACCAAAAAATATAGAGGAGATTGATGAATCAACAAGACAAGAGTTTGCAGAACTTATATCTTCATTATGTTCTCTGGCAAATACCCAATCTTGTCCTTCGTCATATGAAATTATATCATTTCTTATTTCCATTCTTGAGTCGAAGAAATCAAGCATAGAAACGAAAGAAGTCAGTTTAGGTGCACTATATAAGCTATCAATAGTATTAGAGAATGCAGGAGCTTTGATCTCAAATGGGGTAGTTCAGACTTTATTGATGCTTTCATTAGAAAAACAACTATCAGAAAAAGCCCTAGCAATATTAGGGCACTTAGTGGTGACCCTAATGGGGAAAAAAGCAATGGAAGAAAACCAGATGGTGCCAGAAAGGTTGATAGAGATTTTTACATGGGAAGAAAAATCTAAGTGTCAAGAACTTTCGGTCTACATTTTGATGATATTAGCTCATCAAAGCTCAACTCAGAGAGCTAAAATGGCAAGGGCAGGGATAGTGCCAGTGCTTGTTAAAGTGTCCTTATTAGGGTCACCTCTAGCTCAGAAAAGGGCGACAAAGTTATTACAGTGGTTCAAGGATGAAAGGCAAGCCAAGATGGGTCCTCATTCTGGTCCGCAAACAGGAAGAATTTCAATAGGTTCACCATGTAATCCTAGGGAAGCTGAAGAAGGTAAGAAAATGATGAAGAATTTGGTGAAGCAAAGTCTTTATAAGAATTTAGAGATGATTACTCAAAGAGCTGCCTCTCCTTCCTCTTCAAATCTTAAATCTTTTGCTATTAGCACAAGCTCTAAGAGCTTGCCTTATTGAAATCTTTCCTCCTTTAACACCATATTGTGTTTTGGGATTTATTTTTATTTACTCTCATACATATACAACTCAACTCTTTATAAGACCACGTTGTAATTCTTATATTGACAAAGAAGATTGTATATCACAACAAATCAAATTAGTGTCAAATTTTCTAGAGATGGAAAAAACTGTATATAAATAGAAATTTTTTTTTTCCAAATTATTATTAAGCCTAATATGTCAAAACGATGAATTATATTTGCATGACATATTTAGTAATCATACATTTTGTATTTATGTGCTTGTAAATTTTCTTCAATCCATCAAAAAAATAATAATACAATTTAGATTCGTAACTAATTTTGACTCGTATTCAAGTATTGAATCAAAATAAAATTTATAAATTTCATAACTAATAGCCAGTAATGTAAAATTACTTTAATTTCACACTTCTAGAAAATAACTATTGGTTATTTGGATGTTTATACTCAAAAAACAATCAAGTCACAAAATAAAATATTTTCAAGTGCTTATAGAAAAAAAAACAACTAATTCTTATTTGCTTTCACTAGGTAAAGTTATAAATTTGTTTTAGTTTTTTGAATCTATAAACTATTTTCTTAGATTAAAAAAATTATAAGCATCAATAAGTAGAATTTCACCTTGATTTACAACCAATAGATAATTATGTTATATAAAAAATATTTAAGTGCTGAGCTATTATCTCAAACTTTTCATATTTTTTTTGATGTTACTGTAGAGACCCAGAACTTAAATAGAAATAAATTCATAAATTAAATGCGGAATCAAATAATAGAGTTAGGATTTACATTACTTACACGATAGTTTAGAATACTAAATAGGAATATGAGAATGTTCGTTTTAAAAAATAAATGGTAATTAAAGAAAAACGAACAAATAAATATTTTAGAACAATCTTCACTAGTATTTGAAGGAAATCCGGGTGGTGAACTGCTCATAACCCTATTACTAATCGAGATTTGAATCTTGGTATTCTTGATATGAAATGCTTAATAAAAATGTGAGTTACACTAGCCCAGTAAAGATATCATACTAATCATAGGTACGAAAAACTAAAAATCAGAAAAAAAAACTAACAGAACCTTTAATTTGATGTAAATTCATTTAATATAAAAAAATCATTTATTCTATATTTACGTAACGAGTTTTTTCAAAAATAACCTATCAAGATCCATATTCATACCACTTTTTATTTTCATGCTTATGATAACAAAAGATGATAATTTTTCTTTTTTACCTACTTACCGGTCCTCTTGGGGATTTATAGGGATGTCCATTTACTCGTAAATCCAATATCTAATTTAGACAATTAACCGACCGTCCCATACCACGATCGATAATGAGCGCCAAACATTCTATCGCTTCAATATCTCGTCCGGTATGAGCATGAACTATATCTCCAAAACCTTATTGGTAATATTCATGGTAGGGTTCCCTATGTACCAGCATTCTCTGTCATTTTTCGGGTACCTAATAAGTCTTTTACATACAGATTTTCATCAAACAAAACAACTAATCACATAATACCAATATTTCATTGTATATTCACAAATCAATAAAATGACATTTAAGCAAGCAATTTAATTTATCATAACCAATAACTGAGTAATCGGATAATCAGATAAATCATGAAGGAAGGGACCAAATATCCCAGATAATCGAGAAGACTATGAAAACTATTAATGTAAACATGCACAATGTAGTAGTAAACAATTTAAGCTGTACATAAAAATAAACAGAGAATCACGGTAGGGTTATTATAGTTACTATCCAACATTATTTTCAATCATGTACAGTACAGGAGTGCAACACCACATATGCAATAACTTACCACCCAAAATAAAAGAATTTTTACCAAACTTCATCATAAAAATATCAATTACAACATCATTAATTTCTAATACTATAACAATCGTATTTTTATTTTTATTTTTTTCTATCAACTTTATTGTCTTTCTTTTTCTCTACGATCCCCCTTCTCTTTCATTTTTCGTATCTTAAACAGCAGTTGAAAACATCTTCAGTAGTTCTTGAATTTCAAAATGTTACATACTTGAAAATGAGGCTATCATACAAAAATAATTATTAATGCAAACTCTCGCACGCCTAGCCTTATAATTGATAAAATGAATAGCTATTGCTTTTGATCTTTCCATTGGTTAATTTCTTATGATTGATTTTTCTACATTATTTGGTACGTGTCTAATTTATCCCTCTTGAAACATTTGTTCTTGTAAATGCAAAGTTCCATTAGTAGATCTTGCCACGTAAAAATTAGAATAATAATTATACATAATACTTTTTTGTCACTCATTAATTATTTTTTTATTTATTTACACTTGTGCTTGTCACTCAATATTTTGTATCTTTTTCGACTTCTTTCACTAATTTTTTTTTTTTTGACCTTTACGTCTGCTAGTATGCGAAATGCTTTTAAAATAAAATATTATTGAAGATATTGGTAATTAAAAAGATTAAAAAAAAAACAAAAAACACTAAAGAGATTTGTAAATTATAATTTATTTATTTATTTTAAAACTTGGACAGATGGGTATATACTTAATATATCCAAAAAATAAAGAAACAAAAAAAAAAAACTTACATAGCAGGTGGAAAGGAAAGGTCAACCCTTAGCCAGACCGGAGATCCGCCAAGAACTTTATGTATACATATAGATATATATATATATATATTATACTGTTGGTGGTTCGAATTCGATACTTTCCTTTCTTAATCGCAAATATTTGTGTCTATTTATTTATATACCAAAAGCGAAAAAATCTGGAGTAATTGCGGGAATATGGCGGACAGTTGGTGTTCGTCAGGTCCCGTTTTATCCAAGCTTCCTGTCTCGCCTTTTCGATTCTGTTGCCAACATCTTCCTTCCAGACCTTTCTTCGTTCCAATGGCTTCTCGTTTCCGTTGCTCCTCCTCCGCAGCTGCACCCGACCTGCCCTCATTGCTCGTTTTCTCAGGTATTTACGAACGAAACAAGCAGAGGATGCTTCTTGATTCTTCTCTGTTTTTCTCGTATTCTACATATATTTGTGCAGGATATCTTTGAAGAATTGAATTATTTTTTCACCTAGTAATGCACATAATGTTGACAGGGAACTGGTAAATTAATACTTTAAATTACATGCACATTTTTGCTTTGACGGGGAGTTCAGATTTTGAATTAGAGGTGATTATGAGAAGTTAGGAATTTAAAGAATTAGGGTCATTTTTAGTTTAGTGAAGAAGGTTTGATGTATTATAAGATTAATGGAATTAAACATTGTTAGATTAATTAAATTCAGAATTCTAATGAAAATTTCAGGTACTCGCTGTTTTGTGTTTACCTTATTAATGTAGTGATGGTAAAATGTGTTCCTAAGAACTTTTTATCTTGATTGATCTAATATTGAGGACGTTAAAGTATAATAATGATTACAGAAATGGGACTACACCAACGTGATCCATTTTAACTCAGGTAGGTTGCATAATTTATGTGTTCTTCCTTTAGGTATGGTATTGCCTGTTAACTCTCTGTTCTTGCCAAAAGGAGTTTTGCATGCAAGTTTAAAACTCAGTATTGGTACTTGCTTGTACGTTTCAAGTGAAGGAACAAAATTCATGTGATGAAATATAAAGATTATAGGGGATGTTTGATGAATTTTGCCTATGAGTTGTCCTGCATATTGTTTGTTGTATTATATTTCTTTTTGTTACAAGATCCCCAAGAACCTGTTAAACATTGGAAGTTCAGCTCTCTTAAATTATTTTTCTCTTAACTGCAATGTTATTAATATTATTCTTTAAAAAGAAATGATGTAAATCCAAGCTTGGTTCCAGAAAAGTTTTTCAATTAGTGTAATGTTGATGTAGGTGGCACTGGATTTAATGGTGTTGTTGAAGAGCTCCGGAGGTTAACAACTCGTGTTGCCCATGTCCTTCCTGTTTCTGATGATGGAGGAAGTACAGCTGAGATTGTTCGTGTTCTTGGTAACTTTCGTAACGATCAAAAGCCACACAAGCGCACATCACTCACAAATACATACATAGATCAGTTTGATTTGCTCCTGTTCCTAAATCTAATTGTTAGTGCCTTGTGCACTAAAATTGAACTGGACATACCAGAATGCTTCTGATTCTTCCTCCCTTTTCCTGACCTATTTGAACTAAAATTATTGGAGCTCGCTGGAGAGGACCTAAGATCTCCTAGAGTTGCGTACTCAAGAAACTTTGTAAATTTTCTCTGCATAATTTCAGAACAGCCTTTTACAACTTACAACAAGAAGAAGAATAACTGCTTGTTACTATTCCTAACAAATAGTAAGTCTAACAAGTGTATTTTAAATGGACTACTGATATGTAATTGACAATAATAAAAACAGTAAAATCCCTAATCTATAAGATACTATTCAGAAAGTTGTCTTCACAAATAAACAGACATACTGCTCTGATTAAGATTATCCGTTTGTAAGAAGTTGCCGATTAACTGGTGGCTAGGATCAAAGTATTACTCCCCTCTCTTACTAGGCTCTTTTCCTCAAGTGCAAAGGTTGGAACTACAATCTTTGTGATGAAGTTCAGATTCACGAGAATCTAAAATGCCCTATTATGTTGCAAACTCTAATTGATCTTCTAAAGCCTCTGGCTACTAATGCTTCTTAGACTGGTGATCCGGTGTAAACACTTCATCATAATTAAAACAAAGACCTTTGCCCATCTAACTCCAATTCCAGGCTGGCTGAGGCATTTAATTGCCTGTGTTTGAGAAGAAAGAAGGATCTGGACCATCCCTTCTAGTGTTAAGAACTCATGTTGATGAGGACTACCCCGGCATTCAGAAGTATTCTCACTCCTGGCACTTGTCAAATCTGTTGGTTGATGTAGTTTTGATGTAAGATAAAAGTAGAGTTAATTTTTCTACTCGGACAATTAGGGAGGAAACCTAAACATTACACCTAGGATTTCTTAAATATCACACCAAATAATTCTTAAACATCGCACTTAAGGATTTGATCACATTACTCATTAGAAAATTGAGAAAATTCTCAAAGAAATCTTCATTGAATAACTGAACTGTTTTAAAAAGTGAGATTATGTAGGCACTTGCAGTGTTTTACAAGTAACATTTGCCAAATAGGATTAAACTAATAAATGCTAATGCTAATAGAAAAGGAAAACTAATTAATAAAAAGCATAAAATCTTTTTTTGTTTTTGTAAAAAGACACTGGTTCACCCATACTGACTGAGCCTCTTCTAGACTAGTTTTAAGATTTAATACATTTATTTTTTTTAAAAAAGGTTTGATACATGTTCTCTTTTGACATGGTCTTCTTGCATTTGTAGTCTTCTTCACCAAAATTGCACTATACTGTTCTTTGATGAAAAATTTTCCAGTATGTGGAAATCAAGAAAGAGAACATGTCATCTTCAGTAGATGTTAGACTTGATAAATTTCTCTTCATTGTAGTTAAACACAACCGAGCACTTAAAGTGGAAGAAAGTTGGAAACTTTTTCCAATTTTAAAACCCTAGTAAGTTCAGGAAATAGAAGTAGGAAACTTGTCATTCGTGAGGATTGTTGCAAGAACTTCTTTCAATTCCTATAGTTGAACAATTTTGTTTTGAAAGACAGTTAAATGACTTAATCTTTCAACATAATGACATCTCCAACTATACATATTAGCTTGGATGGATAATATACTTATTTTAGTAACTCGACAATGTGATATTTTTATTATCATGGTGCTTATTGTGTAAGGTAGGACAAATAGGATTAATGTGCCTACTTAAGTATTTGGGCATAAAAACCAATACATTTATCTAGGGTTTTGTGGAGATCGTATCTAATAAATCTCAAGTATCATAACATTTAAGAGTTTGATTGCATTACATATCGAAAAATTTGATAATAGTCTCAAAATACTTTATTGAATAATTGACCTATTCATTGCTTATGTGCTTGCTCATTGGATTGAGTGTGTGGTAGATACTTTTGACCGAAC